AAATCGCAGCAATTATATTATTACGTCCCCGAATTAACCCCGGGAGACGTTAAATTATCATTAATTAAAAGGTTGGGATCAATTTAACTCGAATAAAAAAAAGGCCACGAGATATTTTCAAGAGGATCAACGAATATTTCAGCAAAATTTAAATGTCAATATTTTAATAAAAGATATAATACTAATCAGCAATGAAAATAATCAGCATTAAATTTTATTTAACGAATTTCTCTCTGGATATTGAAAAATATATTTTCATAATCATAAATTCATAATAATTTCGAGAAATGGTAATAAATTTCGAATAAGTAGAATTCATACGTTTTTCAATATGAACTGAGATAATTTTGTTAAAAATATATATTTTTAAAAATAAAACTCTCTATTTGAATTGTTTACTATATTTAATAGGTTTATCTCTCACTCCCTCTCTCTCTCTCTCTCTCTCTCTCTCTCTTTCTCTACGAGACCTCATTCTCACGCTTTTTCTTAGAATTCCTCTTCCTATACTATTTCATCATTCACCCCATGTCATTATTAATTTCTACAGTTAACCACCAGCAGCGAGAATCAGACGAGTTTATCAAAATCAACAATCGAAACGATAAGAAAAGTCCACTTTCTTTAAAATATTTTTTGTATTTCGCATTATCAGTGATTGAAAAAAATCGTAAAGTAATTTTTATACAATTTCGTCGGTCCTACAGCTCAAAGCAATTGGAGTTTGAAAGGAAAGCAGAATGAGATACAGGAAAAAAGAACAAAGAATTAGATGAGACGCTGCCAGACAATGCATTTATGTAATCGGAAACGAGTTATGACTCAAGGCTGTTTTTTTAATGCACGGAGTAAAAGAAAAATAGACAATAAATAACGAAAAGTTGGAGTTGAGGCTGGGGAGGAAATCTACTGAATTTTCCGGCTCTACCATTGTTTTATCATAAAACTCTCATTTCGTTGAATCAAATATTATAGAATCCTAGATTGAAGGATATTTTTTCTCAATTTATTACCTCTTCTTCATTTATTTCTCCCAACTCATACGCGGATAAATATAATCAAGGAAATATCTAAACGATGACGATCTCTCCATCAAAAATATATTAACAATATCGTTTCGTCAATTTTTCATTTCAATCCGTGGCTAAACAATTTTATAAAAACTGCCTTCCATTTTTTTTTATTAAATCCCAATTAAATTCCTGGGGTTATATAAATAGTATAAATATTTCGTGTAATATATTTGAAAAATATCGTCAATTAGCCCAGTAATTTAATGTTTGTGTGTAAGAATGGACAATTTGTAAATCGTTACAACAATTGAGAAGTTATTATTTCACACGACTCTTATGACTCTGTTCCACTCAATACCGATGTTTTCTCTTTTACCGGAATACTCCAACGGTGCATGCACCTTTCAGTGGTGTGACTTTAATTAAGAGGCATTGCGATGTTAATGAATGTCCCTGCCAGCTTAAGCGGAACTATGTTCCTGGTACCCGACAATTTATGGAGCATATTCGTTGGTAGGGAAAATACTGAGCGTTATGATAAGAACCCAACGCTCTGCGAAAGCCTCGAGTTGTGTCCTTTTATTTCCGGAAGTGAAACCGTGACTATCCCTCCACGGGCATTACGTGATAATGCCTCATGTCATGTTAATATTTTTTTGTCAGAGCAAATGACAAGAGAGATGGGGAGTAAGAACTATAATATCGAGAACATTTAATTTTCACTGTACCAATTTGATAAAACAAAAATATTATTTACCCTCCCTAGTTAAAATCCCAAATTATAATTTTGAAGAGCAATCGATAATTCATGGACATATTAAAAAACAATTCATACCTGTCGATGCATTTTCCAGAAAATAGTCTTTTCCTTTGAAACTCCTTTAATCTAATGAAATTTTCTCATCGAAGAAATGCGTAAATTTTCTTAAATATTATATTACTGATCGGGTGGGCCAAAAAAGGATCCCTTGAAATAGTGGAATGAGCGATAAGTCATGTCGCCGACCGAGTGGTAATTGACTAGAGTGGCTGGAGATGATTTATCATTGTTAAGAGAACAGAGGATATCTTCTGGTGGACGAATAGCACGAGGAGAAGTGATGCAACTGAGAGAGTGCAAAGAGTTCACGGTAGATAGCCACCTCCACAACTTATTAATTAGAAAGTCCTCCCCAAGGAATATTGGTGTCCGGATGTTTGTGCAGTAGTGCAGAGGTCCCTGAAACTGGCACAAGGCCAGACTCCTCCGTCTTGGCTGTTCCTGATCTCTCTGCGAACACATCCTACCGATGTCCACGATTAATGTTCACCCTGCACTCTCACCGGTATTGATCAGAAAATATCTGGCCCTGGAGACTTCCTCCTTCTCCATTCACCTGCGAAAAAATAAATCCTCAACACCGTGGCAAACAAAAAATTCATCATTCACCGCCCACAAGTCCTCCCATTATTTATCCCCTTCAGATAGAACTATTGATCAAATTCACTCGATTATAAATAATCGACTGTCCCTTCTCCTTCGATTGAATTATTCTTCCGCTGATTAAATGCTTTTACGTCCTGTTAACAAATGCATTGGTGTTTAAGACCAAATAAATAGAACAGTGGAAGGGAATTATTGCTGGTGGAATCGCTATAAATCATCTGAAAGCCTCTTCCATTGAAGTGCAGGAGTAAGCTCGCCGTACGTCAAGCTTCTTCAGGAATAGAATTGGGATGGGAAAATCTATACATCCACTCCCGTTTATATTGTTAAGTACTTTGGCAGTTGTGGCAGCTCACGACCCGTAAAACGTCCGGATTTTTCCGACTTGTCCTCAACTTCACGTGAATTGTTGTTTAGTCTCTTGATTTATTCCCATGTCGGGCCGTTTTTTACGCGATGCGCGCAACAAACCATACTTCTGCATTTCTCAACTTTTCATGGAGGAATTTCACATCGTGAAGAAGTTGTTTAGAAAATCCTAAGTTGTTAGAGATGAATCGTGAACTTTTACGGAAAATTCAAAAATTTATTTCAGTCATATCAATGTTTATTTTTCGAGTTCCTGAGAATATTCGACTTTGCAGCGCTCGTTACGATTGTTATCCCTTCAATTAAATAATATGAACCCCTCGTCATCGTGCAAAATTTAATGTTATATTTTACCTGCTTAGGCTTCAACGTCTGTCATAATGATTTTCGAAAAACAAATCAATTCTGGGGATGTACCCAATGAACTGAGCTCACCAGAAAATAGAATGCCCCACTTATTCTGATCTCATTATTTCACTTCGTTCCATCAACCTCAGCCCTTTCGTCAACGACCATCCCATTCACTTCTCACTGTCTCCTTTCTCATCGCCCTTTCTCAAATATCTCGAATTTCCTGGTTTTTAAATTTCTCACAACTCCAGGGAAATTCACCGGAAATAACGAAAAATCGATTATTTAGGGTTTTTGATGAGATTGAACTCTCACAGAAATATATTATATATTATATATTATATATATAAAGCGAAAATATATCGGAACATAAGGGAGATAGCAATATCATGGGCTGATTAACTTTTGTAGAATTGAGTGAGCGCTGCAAAAAAATGATTTAGCAAAAGTTGCGCTGATTTTTATGATTTTTAGATCCCTGGGTTAATATTCGCCGAGAGAAAAAATATCCCGGTCAAAATAGCCGGAAGAAATCTCCCACAAAAAGAAATGTTTCCGTTATTTTTCGCGAATAATCGAATGGACAGTAAATTGATAATTCCAAGAAATAATGATTTCGATTTTTCGGTTTACCATTCAACTTTGATCTTTAATTTTAACGATCGACGATACTGTTAGTAAAAAAATCTTAATTATACAAATCACGAAAGTATTGAAATTTTTATTTGAATTTCTACCGGAAATGCTGCAGGAGTATCTTTATACAACGACTAGAACTACGTGGAAGCCTGTGATAATGCTCTGAGAAATCAAGTGTCGCTCGGTAATTGAATGTGAAGTCCGTTGAGACATCGATCCCTTGCCATGTACGTCTTGCCGAATCCCGTGATTTGAATGGACAATTCTCGGTGTGTATACATTTCATGGGATTTAATGGAAATCGGGGACGAGCACCTGACCAAACGGTCACTAAATTTATCACTGTTTCCCGGTTGGAAATCTGCTAAGGGGGCCCTGCTGTCACATAAGGGCCATACCTGGTAAATATAAGGTATACCTTGCAGGTTTCCCAGATGTACACCTGATCAGGACCTTGGTTAGTTGCTATCAGGCTTACCTGCTAAGGTTGACCTTACGTCTCGTCGTCAAGGCCCTGGTCAGGGAATCGTAGAGCTCGCCTAATGATGTTAGCCTGACTCGAAACTGATGAGACCCTTATCTGGTTATAGTAAGGTTTCCCTTACAAGGTCTATAGCATTTTGTCATTGAAAGGCCCTGATCTGTCAAATCTCCGGCTAGCCTACCAGAGTTGACTTGATAAATAACTAATGAGACCCTTATCTGGTTATTGTAAGGTTTCCCTTACAAGGTCTATAGCATTTTGTCATTGACAGGCCCTGATCTGTCAAATCTCCGGCTAGCCTACCGGAGTTGACTTGATAAACTGATCAACTCATTATTTGGGTATAGTAAGACTTGCTCCGCAATGCTCACCAGATTTTTACCTGTTCAGGTCTTTATCTGGCATCTGTAATGTTCACCTGATATGGTTCTTGATCAGGTACTGATAAGTCAAACATAAAGCTTGCCTGATAAAGTTCACGTGACATATGTGCTTTAATTGGATGTGACCTGGCCATAATAAGGTATGCTTTACAATGTGTACCTTATCATTACATTAAGAGCCCCTGATCTTATATATATATATTTGTATTATAGGCGGTACTTTTAGTAACTCATGAATTCTTGTACATTGAAATAGAAGAGGGCGTGCTCTCTGCTGATAAACGTGAGCCTAGCCAGTGATCGTATCACTGACCAAAGGTATTTTAGAAAGAAATTAGAGTTGTGTATAGTATGTAATTATTTGACAAATATCAGTTGAAGTTTGTTGGTTTGCTTTGCAGAAATGAGTGATTTTGATAATTATCGCAAAAAGACTCTAGCGCAAGAACGATTGAAACGTTATAGAAAAAAAAGGCGGCTCGAAAATCAGCAGACTAGTCGAACGATATTCAGTGATGATGAGCATAGTGATGTTGGAAAATTGGATAATAACTTTGCAGACTATAGTTTTGATGAATTAGTTACATTTGAAATCAATGGGGTACTTGATGATCCTGATACTCCTAGTATTCTTAGTGTTCCTAGTGAAGAAAAAAGATTTGAAAGGAATCATTTGACTAACGAGTCTGATTCCGGAACTTTTGTCAGCGCTGATAACCACAGTTGTTCAAGAAGCCATCAAGATGAAGGCGTTGACACTGAGACGATTGATGACGAAGATGAACTACGACCAGCTAGTGTAACCGAAGATGACGTTGATGATTTGACAGATGACTGTTTCATGCAGTATCAAGAAATACAGGAGTTGAGAGAATGGGCATTACAAAGCAAGCTATCACTAGCGCTTTTGGATAGATTATTGTTGATACTTCGGAAGAGATTACTTCCTGACTTGCCTAAAACCGCAAAAACATTCTTAAAAACTAATTCAGCAAAATATGACATTGAAATTAATGAAGAAGATGCGAGTGAGTTTGTTTATTTTGGCATTGCCGACCCGTTGAGACAAACTGTCAATTCCGTGTTTCATATTGATAACACAATCCATTTACTCGTGAATGTTGATGGCCTCCAATTATTCAAGTCAAGTTCTCAACAGTTTTGGCCTATTTTATGCCAAATATTCTCCGAGGAAAATGTGTACAAGCCATTCCCAGTAGCTATTTATTCAGCTAGGCATAAGCCAACAGACGTTCATAAGTATCTGGAAAAATTTATCAATGAAGTCAATGAACTCCAAGCTAATGGCTTACTAATTGACGGTCAAATGTTCAACATCTGTATCAAAAGTTTTATCTGCGACAGACCCGCTCGTGCGTTGCTGAAAAGCATGAAAGGTCATGGAGGCTATTGGGCTTGTGAGAGGTGTGAGGTACGTGGTGAACGGGTGGAAAGAAGAATAATATATCCTATAGATGATTCAGCTGCGGAAAGAACTGATGAATCCTTCCGTCAACAAACAAATGCTGGTCATCACATAGGTGAATCACCATTACTAGCAATTCAACCTCCAATTGATATGGTTTCAACATTTGTGTTGGATTTTATGCACTTAGTGTGTCTGGGTGTCATGAAGAAACTCTTATTTTATTGGGTGAATAATTCCTCTAAAAGACGATTGAGTTACTCCGGAAAAATTCTGTTATCTGACTACTTGGTAAAAATACAAAAACAAATTCCATGTGAATTTCATCGCACTACACGCGCTTTGGTAGAAGTTGATCGTTTTAAAGCGGTTGAATTTAAATTTATTTTACTCTATGCAGGACCAGTGATTCTGAGAAATGTGTTAAATGAGGATTTGTATAAACATTTTCTTTTGTTGCATACCGCTTGTCGGATATTATGCTCAAAAACTAGAGCTCTGATTGATTGTCAAAATGCTAATAATCTTCTAAGAAAATTCGTGATACTGATGCCACAACTTTATGGAGAAGCGAGTATAATTGGCAATGTACATAACTTATGTCATTTGGCAAACGATGTGCAGGTCATGAAATGTTCAATTTCTAACATTACTGCTTTCCCGTTTGAAAATGCCTTGGGGCAGATAAAAAAATTACTTCGTAGTGGAAAGAGAGCTTTAGCACAAGCTTGTCGTCGTTTACACGAAAGTTTTTCTATCTCCTATCGAAAAGTAACTTTGAATTCGAAAGTACAAATATTAACCCAATTAAATCCAGATGAAACAGGCCGAATTATAATTAAACGTTTAAAATATGACGGTATCACGCTGACCACAAAGTCTCCAGATAATTGTGTTTTATTACGAAATAACATTGTATTGCAAATTAAAGAAATGTTCATGTCAACAGCAACTGAAAGTGTACATATCAAGGGAACTAAGTTGAAAAAAAAAAAATCCATGTTATCTTATCCGTGTGACTCAAAATATTTGCATATGTGGAATGTCATCGCGGAGCCAAATTCATTAGAAACATACAAATTAGAAGAAGTTTGTCAAAAAATGGTAACTTTTACTCTCGATAATGATGGGAGGATCAAAATATTCACGATGCCTTTGCTACATATGTAGAATGCTTTGGTTTGCATTTGTTATAAAAAAAAGAACGAAAAAAATTTAATGACAGATTATATTAATAGTAACCACCATCAGTTTATAATTAAAAGCGATTTTAAATCAATATTAAATACAAAGAAAAAAAAGATTGAGGTGAGGTATGATAGGGCACAAAATAATAAAATTGGCAACACTGCATGTCAGTTCTTGAAAGGCTACAATTGGGGGAGGAGGGGGGACGAGCAAAATATGTGCTATTAATATAAATTAATTAGTGTGGACCAATTAATATGTATCACACAATTAAAAGAACTTCGATGTCTACATTGCTAAAAACAAACCAGTGCAGTGACTGAGATAACAGAATTAGTGAAATTTATACAAGCGCACACTCACAACATATATAGAGACTGAGACACCATAGTGCCGAGTGCTATAATAATAGCGTTAGTGTTCGTGTGCCGGTCAAACTAGCCAGTTCGTTTATTGAGGTGTGGATAAAATATACAGCATTTGCTTCTAGTTACTGAAAAATATATTCATCTGAATGATATAGGAGGAAACAATTTAATATATACAAATTTTCCAAATAAAAAGAGCCTTCATTGTCAAATTGGTAGACAAGCACAGTTAGAACTAAGAAACAGAACATTGGATATTGGTAAAATATGTAAGAAGCAAAATACACAAAATACGTAAAAAATGAGAAAACAAGTGCAGTGACTGTGAAAATAGAATTGGTGAAATTTGTACATAAACACACACACTGTATATGTACAGATTGAAACGCTGTAGTGCCGGTACTGTGATGGTAGCATCACTCTTTGTTGGCTAGTCTAACGAGCCGGTTCGTGTATTGAGGTGTGGTTAAGAAATATAGTATTTGCTTTTAGGAGATCATATCGACTTTTATCTGTTTAAAATTATATGAAAAAAAAAAACAATTCGTTGTGTTTTATATAATATTCTGCAATTGATGTTCGAAGGAAAAGGGGGTATCGGCTTGTGTTGTGTATATACCACCGTTTGTTCAGACGAAATCCTTTTAGTTCAGTGATATTTTTTGTGCAATGCTTTCTAAAAAAAAAGTATCGAAATAGAACTGAACAAAAACAGTAATTGATTATCAGATATAACCTAACATTTTTTTCATCACTGTTTTGGCGGTAAATAGCGCATAGGTTCTTCTTTTCGTCAGCGTTTTGACGGACAATTCAGAATATCACACATAATACAGGTTAGTTTTCATCAATTCTAGCTTCTAGAATTTTACCACTGAGAATAACAAATGGATCTCTCTCTTTGTGTAATTCAAGTGTTTTTTGGCTTTTCTTAATAAACTTTATAGAATATTTTCAGAAATTATGAGGCACGCGTATAAAATTGTGCTTTTTCCCGACGATGTGGAAAACAAATTGAGCGTAGACGTGGTACCGTCTACGTGGATATTCGAATCAGAAAAGCACGAGAGCAAAATGTGCCATTTCCCAGTGGGTCCTTTCACAGCAAAATCCATTGCACATTTGCACAAAATGGTTAAAAATCGTGATTCTGCTGATAAATCGTGGCCAGTACATCGAGTGCTGATAAATGGAAGAGCACGTGAGTTTTATTGTCATAAAGTAGTATTTTTACAAGGTCTTCAGGATTGTTCATGTATACGTTTCTCTTTATGTGGTTTATTGTAGATACATATGCAGAGGCCTGTAAAGCAGCGGATAAACTACATTATGATCATTTTGCGTTTTCAACCGACCGAGAGTCATCAGTAGAGAGGATCTTCACTCAGGAAAATCGACTATCTATAAGTAAGAAGCCAACAAAACAGTCTGTTCAAGAAGAACTTAACGATGCTTCATTCGATATGGCGTCGGTTAATGCTGACCAAAATAAAGAAAATGAATCGAATTCTCGTGCAAAGACATCAAGTGAAAATTCTGGATCATCACCCGGAAAAGAAAGAGTAACAACTACTGATTCCAGTTCAGGTGAATCACCTAGACAACCAAAAAGAAAGTCTGTAAATCGTAAGAAGAGGAATTTTAATCCAGAATCCAGATCGTTTAAAACAAAACCAACTGAAAAGGAGAGACCTGCTCAGTTTCAACCTTCCGAGAATTCGAAAAAAAGATCGTATTCGTCAAGTTCCGACTGTTCACCAACTTCAACGAGTTCAACGACATCAGTGACCACGAGGAACACTAAACGACGTCGCCTCTCGCCGTCAACAGATATTGCACCTCAAAATTCAAGTAGATCGAACTCTACGTCACCTCTTCCTCCCCCTAATCGAACATCAATTGATACTCGTAGGCGTTCACGTTCCACCGAGAAAACCTCAGCAAATTGCAAAAATGACCCGCTATCATTATCGAGAACCATAAAACGTCGTTCATTCTCAGCAGATATGTCTCGAAAAGATACTGAAAAAATGAATGACGCTTCTCCTGCACTCCAAAGATCGCAATCAATAGGAGATCAATCAATAGAAGAACAAGAGGAAAGAGAAGAAGACTACAGTTTAGGTGAGTGGCACTGAATTTTAATATTTTTTATCTTTCGTTTTTTTTTAAATTTCGTTTATTAAAATTTGAATTATTTTATCAACGGATTTCTAATATTTCCAGCTAACGTCGTGAAAATGCTCAGAAGAGTTCACGCTAGTTTGTCGTCTAAAATCGACAGAACCTATGGAAAGACTGTTGAACTGACCGGGAGAATTAATGAGATGAAGGTGCACTCTCATCAGCAAGTACCTGACGCCGAGGAATTTGATGTAATTGAGCCAATTCAACTGCCTATAGATACGAAAGAAAATTTCAACCTTTTTGACACTAAAATTCTAGAAGACGCAGGATACAGGCAGAGAATTGTGAGTGTTTCCTATCAGACATATCTTCTTTTTTTCTTAAAAATTCCTAAGTCTAAATTCCCAACTAATTCCCAAAGCACCCAGAAAAAATTTGCATAAAATATTGTTTTCGCAGAAAAATCGTGTCAAGTATATGATTCCTAAAGATCGAACTTATGATACCCATCACCTTTCTACTATCCTGCGTATATATTTGAAGAAGGAGCTCGTTTTAGCAACGTTCACTAGTGTAAGAGCCAAGAATGAGAAAATCCCTTTAAAAGACACAAACTTCTACAAATGTCTACTAAGTACGTATATGATGTCATCAATATATTTTTAATTGAAGATATTTTAAGAGATAATTGGTTAAAAAACAACTCAAAATGTTTTTTTTTTCTTTAGGTGTTCATATGCGTCTCCTGGGTGAGACTATGAGTGAACAAAAATTCAAAGTTCATTTAAAAGCGTCTTTAAATTCAGCGAAGGACTGGGATGGTGGAAGAGCATTCCGTCGTGGTTGAAAAACAAGTCGACCAATATTTAAATTCAGGATGAAAATTTTCATAAAGAAGACAGAAGATTTATTTGGGTTGTTTTTTATTTTTTATCAACTTCTCGATAAGAAGTTACAATTTTTTTTGTTTTGAAGGAATTTCAAGTTTATTTCATTTATTATTACTTAATATTTTCTATGATACTGATGGTTATTTTTAAATATTCTGATTGTTTAATAAGTGCTTGGCACATAGAGAAAAAAAGGGAAGATCTGATGATTCTGTTACCATTTTGATATGCTTAATTACTTCAATTCAATTGGAAAAATCGGGTATAACCTGTGACTTATTTTTTATATTAATTATTAGAACTATATCTGGTGGCTACGGAAAAACGTTGTCATTACCTTGTTGCAAGTAATAAATACTACTGAAAATTATAACATTGTTCTTTATCAGGCTCCTTCGAAGTCAATCAAGCAGGCCCTTTTGAGAGACATAAAGTGATTTGGTCTTTATAAAGAGCCCTTTATCTGGACCACGTCATGTTATCTTCATGTGGCCCTTGCTTGGCAAACTCCCGTAGGCCCTTGTAGAGTTAGCATTGAGTGGTCCTTATAAGGCTACCTGATAAGGACCTCCTCAGGAATGAAATACTAAGGCCCTGATCAAGTCAACCATTTAAAGGCCCGATAAAGTTAACCACATAAGGACCTTAGCCCACCATTGCGTTTCAGCCCTGATCTGGACCTTAGCAGGTAGCCTCATGAGGGCCTTACATTTCAAATCAGGCAGCCTTATAAAGGCCTTGTGAGACACCTGACAAAATTTCTACCCGGGTTGTGCCTTGAAGACACCATTTCCAATGAACACACCTCAAAGAAATAAACTCTGTGATGCCCGCCAATGAGGTATTGATTTTCATTGGGGCATGGGGTGCTATTGGAAGCTAAATGCCCGAGGGTGAATTTTTCGATGCCACCTGAAATGAAAGGCAGAATCGAAGCACCACAGACTCGACTGCAATTGTCTGCTCACCTCTAGCTAATTCACCGAGCCGTCACCCTCACTAATTCACTTCATTACCTACTGTGCCACTGCTAATTGCCCCCCTCGGTCGTATTTCAAATTTTTTTTTTCTCCCTCTCCACACTGTTATATACACCATCGATTGAAAATAAAACCACTGCGGCTTAAAGCCAATTGAACTCAGATTATTAAAGTTTTATCCACCCCATTTTCGAGAACAACCTTGAGATACTTGTTGTATATATTTCACCGGTTATTTCGAGGGACACTGTCAATGTAATGAAGAACTTGACATCGGGATACGAGGTTAATGCGTGTTATTAAATTCCACGTTTCCTCGTCTAGACGTACATCATATTTCATCACGCAGAGAAATTTGCCAGAAAAATTTTAGTGCTGGCATGGGAATTTTTCTCACTTTCCCAATACTGGAAAAATTACACTAATTTACGGGATTCATATACGCCATTCTGTTTTTGTTGTAGTGGTAATTGTAACGTTTCGTTGTGAGTTTATTGTGATTTTTTTCTGAGTCGTAATGGATTTTTTTTAGTTGCAACAAACATGAAGAATTTAGAAATTTCTGGAGTGGGAAAGTATTTTCATAAAACATGGAAAAATAAAACTCACGTCATTGGGTAATTTGAATCGATGTCAAGAGTGAGTAGCTCATAAATATGATTTTTATGAAGTCATGTGTTCCCTCGTGAAAATTCCAGGACTAAACTGAAATATTCGCCGCCTTGCCCCGACGTGAAATTTCCGCAATTCCAACTGGAAAATTTCAGAAGAATGTTAGGCATTTTATGTGTCATCTCGTAATTTTTGTATGATTCTGTCGTGAATGTGAGGCGAAAGAAATTTCCAGCGTTGACATTCGACTCATGAAATGCATCAGACAATCCACATATAAATAGATAAGAGATACTATGAATTCGCTGACTACGATACCGCATATACTGAGCTCGCCAATCACCGGACGCATGATCGCCTTGGATGATTAGAAGAATGATAATTAGATACATAATTGCAAACTTGTGCTAATGGAAAAGTTATTACATTGTTAAAAGAAAATTTCCTGAACTTTCCAGAGAATTACACGGAATTTCATTTCAGATTGAAATCAATCAATTAAATTTGAAAAAAAACGAGAAACTTTTATTTTGTATATTTTTTTCTACATTAAACAAATTTTCAAATATATTCCAAAAAATACAAAAATATGATCTCCGTTATAACAAAAATTCAAAATCAGTCCATTGAGTTCTCCTGAATTTCCCTAGATTTAATCATCTTTCATATAATAATTCAAGAGAACTCTGCAGTTCTCTGAGGTCAATCTGGAAGATTCAGTAAAAATTTTTTAACGTTAGAATTCAATGTTCGATGTTGCATGTTCAATTCCAATCTACACTGTTGACTGCTCCACCCTCAATAATTAACTTCGAATGACAGCTGTAAATAATAACCATAAATTGTCTATTCACTGGCTATTGTAGCGTACTGTAAATGCACTGCGCAATTAATTGAGCTTCCGTTTCTCTTATTTCCACCGGCTGACTAATGAGCCCTTTTTCTACTGTTACACGTACTTCTCGTTCCTCCCCCCTCGTTAATAAACTAACTAAGAAGAATTTGAATTCTGTCACTCTGTCTACTGTTATTTTATCGTTTTTCTTCATGAGTTATTCCGACAATAGCGAGAGATCGAATTGTTGAACGATTGAGAGAACTAATGGAAAAAAAAAACGGTGGGTGCTTGCGCGAGTGTTCCCAATGTGAATGTGAACGATGCAAAGATAAGCGTGCAATTAATATATCCTTGCATCATTGGCTTTGTACGAAATGACAACAGACTAACAGTATTTCAGTGAGGATTACTCAATCAATTAATATCGGCCTCATAATCCCTAGAGAAAATATAACTCGCCAAATATTTACCCGTCGATTCACCGAGCAAAACTTTAATCACCGTAACTCACTGGCTAAATTGTAAACCGGGGTATAGGCAACTCCAAAAACATATTAATTTTAATCGGGGATTGATAATCTGTTACAAAAAATTATTGCCAGACAAAAATCATCAATGGTTATTAAAAAATATCACTAATTTCGGCCAAGAAAATCATGAGATTATTGTCAGCCAGGGAAAATTCATTTATTCATTTTTCTCTGTGCATTTTCCTACTGAGTTCATTACCACTGAAATACTGTAATCTGCACATAATGAAAAACTCTCGATTCAAAAGCTAATCGCTGTTCTTCTTTGTTTAACTCTCGACGGGGAATTTTTTTTTTGAAAAAAAAAAAAAACACAAATCCTCGCAACCAGGGACGTACTTCAACTGCATAATGTTCATGGTGGCGAGTAGCGTTGTCCTCACCGTCCTGGTCCTCAATTATCATCACCGGACGGCCGATAATCACGAGATGCAGCAATGGGTAATTGAGCGATTGTTAATTAGCACTAACGAGCCAACACTCAAAATATATATATGTGTAAACAATGAGTGGTGGCCAGATATGTCAACTGTCAATGGTAAACGGTTTCCTTTTGTGGAAAAAATTCTTCATGGTTCCAGGTGAAGACTATTCTGCTGCAGTGGTTGCCCTGGATGCTTTGCATGCACAGACCGGGGAAAAAAATTACGCGGAAGACGATTATGATGAGTAATAAAATGAGAGAAATCGAGCGACACAATAAATCAAGCAAGAGCCTCATTGCCAATGTCGCTGATATGAATGATGATTATCGGTGCAGGAGCGCAATGTACCCTAGTATGCCCTCTCCATACACACGGTATTTATCACATTTATTACACAATTAATTTAACATCCAGCAATTTTCCTGCAAATGAAATAAGCCGCTCGTCTGTGTTCAAAGATATTTATACTAACTTTATCATAATTTATCTGTTATTATCCCGGAATATATAGGAAATTAAATATTCAATTGAGTCGTGAACAGAATTCAAATGAAAACCATTCCGAAGGGATTAATTTCAGAGATAAAAATATATTGTAATTCAGTATATTCATTCATAAACAAACAATAATTTAATTTTGTAATAATTATTGACAGAGTAATATTCAGTGGATAAAAATAGTCGATATTTTAACAGCTTTTTTTCATGAATTTCCACGATTTATTTCACAAGTGTAATGGCCGTTGAAAGTTGAATTACTTGCGAGTGTTATTGACGAATTCCCACACGCAATAACGCGTGTAATTGCCATTGGAGTTGAGCATTGGGATCGGTGATTCAATCCAACAGAGAAATCCCTGCACTCGTTGTAATACGTAGTGGTGAAATTTACCCGAGTGAAAATCAATCGTCTCAACACACATGTCTCTATTTCGGGGTACATGAGCCGTCTATTCTCGAATGGGAATAGTGAAAGGTATACGGTTGTACACCCCCTCCTCCTTTTCCCCTTCCTCCTTCACCCCTTCCTCCTTTTCCCCTTCCTCCTTCACCCCTTCCTCCTTGATCCCCTCCTCCTTCTCCCCCTTCTCCTACTCACCCTTCTCCTTCTCCCCCGCGTTCTCACCCTATTCCTTCTCACCCTCCTCATTCGCTCCCTCCTTCTACCCATCCCCCTCTCATTGATACATTTAATCGATTTCAGCGGAGGTGGGCATGACACACCTGGCAGACCATCGACGGTCGACGAAACGGCAGCATCAATGCCACTCAGTGGAACACAACGGGAACTCCAAACGATTCTCAAGGAGCTTCAGTTTATTACTAAGAGAATGAAAAAGGCTGAAGTCGAGGCGGAGATCATCAGCGATTGGAAGTTTGCTGCGATGGTCGTTGATAGGTAAATAAAGGAATGTACAGAGAGACGAGTAGAATTTCATGGACTTTTTACTGGTGAGAGAAAATTGAACGGAAACCCGGGAAATTCCACCCAACGAAACTTTGAAAAAAATATAATAAAATAAAATTGAATGCATTTCAATTAAAAACGGAATTGATCAGTTTTCGTTGAAATTAAAATGAATGAAATTAAATGGATGAAATTAAATTAATAAAATGAAAATTTAATAATATCCTCGTCCAGGTTTTAGTTGAAAAATTACTTGTTTATCAGTATATGGTTATTCATTAATGACGAAATTGCGATGATCAAATGCATCGCACTATTTTTTACTATGATCGAAGTCAGTTTCAATTCAGTGCAAAAAATCGAGCTTCAGTTGATTTTAAAAAAATTTAATTGGATGAGAATTTAAATTCTAGTTCACTCGAATTCACCAAATTATTTTCAATAAACAATGAATGTCCGCTGTCAAAATTTGCAAAACTCAACTAAACGATCACTTCTCTAAAATTCCACGCTAGGAATTTTTGTAATTTCTACTGTTCATAAAAATTCCTCTTCTCTGACAAAAATAACGGGCATCCAATTCCATAAAAATTCATCGATCTTCATTGAACTCATACTCCGCGCATTTTTCGGTGATATGACTAGAATTTTTTTTTTTAATTTACACGTGAATTACTCGTATTTTTGATTGGTTTGAATGTTTTAATTCTCTTCTTCTAGGCTATGCTTGATACTTTTTACGATGTTCACGGTGATCGCAACAATAGCCGTGCTTTTATCAGCGCCACATATAATCGTCCAGTAGTAAACTGCCCAGGCCCAGCCACCAAAAAATCTTTCGGAAGAAGCCACCTCCTAATACAAGGTAAGCCATCCACCTCCTCATCTCATAAAAATATTCCACCCCATCAAACCAATTACCTTCCCCTATAATTTATTTCCAGTAGAATCGAGAGAACGAGTCGTTCGAGTCGAGATAAAGTGGCTGTGAACTAGAGAAGTGGACGAAATAGTTTCACAGAAAAAAAAAAAAACAGAGCCACGCCCCAGGAGAGAAAGAAGAAGGGCCAAACTTTCGCCGAGAGTGGATGGAAAAAAAAAAAGTGGCAGGCCAGTAGTACATACCGTGAGTGCAACAAAGTACTTGTAACTCCGTGCCCTCTTCGGGGGTTCCTCTGAGAAAACAATCTCCTCGACTCGTCAATTCAATGCACAAGGAAAATATGTAAGAACAAGCGAAGAACGTGTATCTTACACGACTCGTTCAATCTCGATTGTGGAAAAGGGAGGAAAACTCTTCCACTATTCAAAAAGAAAAAACCACCATTCGAAACACTTGAAAGAAAATTCTCCAACAACTTCCACTTCGATATCTTCCACTTCTCGACGTTATTCTCCGCGACGCGAGAGCATCGGACCACCGCCTAATTCTCGCAGACGCTCATTTTATATGACCAATTCATCGTTCGGAGATCACAGCATTGGCCCTGCACCCAAAAAACATGAGTACAACTTCTCCATTCGATTCAAGCCCTCGTATATGAGTTGATAAGTCACTGCTTTTTTCAAAAAATCTCCCAATAATATATTTATCCCTGTGATTTCAATAATTTTTTTAACCTGATTCACTTTGCTGGAGTACGATTACTGCAGTATGATTTAATTAATTTAATTATATTTCAAAGTGATTTTTGGGTGCAGTCCCTGTAATTTTACCGAGGGCAAGAAAGCCGCAGTGAACGCTCGAAGTGAATTCTGCCAATTCCTGACTGCGGGAATTCCACAATTTCCGTTTGCAGCGAAAAAAAAAAAATAGTCATTAACTCGCTTTACTCATTGAAACATTAATGACTCGGCACAGAACTCATAAAAATACACAACGATGCTCAAACGCTCGGGTTGCTGCTACAAAAACGAAATCACGTGTAATAATTTTTTCACCGTCACGTGCGAATCGATACAGAAACGATAATCATAAAAAATATTATTAAATCACAAAATCGATGATAGATATAACACGTGCGAATATAAACACAAACTGCCAGATCGATTGGCGTGTTCGTGAGCGGTGAAAAAAAAAATAAAAGAAAAAACAATGGAGGATAAACCACTGAGGAATTTCCCACTCTCTGCTAAACCAGAAATTCCTCTTCTAAGGTATTAATATTAAATATATAATTATGTAGGTATACAATACGCTATCGAGCGGTGAATATCGTTTCTCTCCGCGCTGTGTAAATAAAAAAATAAATTTTTAGTTGGAGATTAGAAGGGATTTACGAATTAGATCGTAACGTAATTTTACTACGTTGGCGCAAAAAGGGGATGTTTTTGGTTGGGGTGAGCCCGTGGTACGGATTTTCATATAACAAGTGTTCATAATGTACGTCGAGGTCTGTCTCGTATGGTCGATTAAAGCGTGCAACAGTCAAGGCTTTGGAATAACAAGCGATTAATTAAATCGGGAGGAAAAAATCGTTGCATCGATCTCACCTCTTGTTTCTCGTTGTACCCCTGCACGTGACAAAAACCCGAATACCACACTCTTTTATTTCTAGTCGGTGACTGTAGCTTTGAGATTTTTTAAACAATTTCAACGTTACGTTTGAACTATCAATTTGGAAGACACGAGCAATACAATAGCGGACACATCGTTGGACTTGGTACAGCGAGAGAATGACTACAGACAAGTTAATTACATTTTCTGGCGATGGCTGAAGGTAAATAGGCGTACCACTTTGTAGTTTATTTATTTTTTTTCGAGGTATCATGCCGAGGATTGACAATACAATTATTTAGGCTCATTGTTTTCAAAGCTTCGTGGACGTCTAGAACTGATAAGTTCATTCTCTCCTGTCCAAAATTCAATTCTTCCCGGTCAAACCGACAATTTCATTTAGCGGCTGTGATCGAGGACTCGAGTTCACCGTCTCGCCTGATAAAACGAATGAGCAACAGCTCCGAAGAAGTAATCAATTGAAACCCGAGTATATTGGGTAACAGTTAAATTACTCGAGGACACGTCACTCTAGAAACTTTTGGTAATGACAGAGAAAAACTGGCCGATAGTCCCGAATCAGGAATTTTTATGAAATCTCCAATTCCCTCCCTGAATTATTGACCTCTGAGAAAAAAAATCGACGAAGCGGAAAGAAAAAAATCATTATGATCTATACAGAGACGTCATTGGATCGAGCACCATCCGGGGCTTATAAATTCTCCGAGAAAGGACCGATGGCATTTGGACCTCCATAATTCATAGCTCGAGGGGGCATAAAGTTGTCTCCTCTTCGTCCCTTGTCCTCCTGCAATAACACCGATAAACGAAGACCACACACGCAAGTATTGATAACCGTGCGATTAATTAATCCCGCACTGATTGACTCGTTACATTTTAATGTTGAACAGCAGCGACATACTTCGGGAAATAATCGATCGATTAAAATACATGATAAAATACTCAAGTGAAATTATAATAAATTGATCAATGTGTCGTTAAATTTTTTTGTCACGTGTGCGAAGCAAGAGGGGGATTTTTTTTTTCTGTCCTATGATAGAGATGCGCAATTCGAATTGTTATTTAAATGTTAAATTATGAGATGCCATTGAAAAGCCATGGTGTTGCACGTAAACCACCGGGAAATGAATAAATCATCGAGCGTCGTTTGAGAATGTGTCGAGAATATCAACCTGCTGTCCGCTGTCTCCTATCAACCCCTCTAATCACGCGCTGGGCTTGAAGCTGACATAATAAATATTACCTAGATGCCGGATTCTCGTGGGGCTGTACCCCCCATTCTCTTTCAATGCCAATGAGAATCCACCGTAAGTCGATTAACCGGTATCCCATTACCGGTTGTAATTAAAAACTATAGATATAAATACCGTTCAAGAAATAATAGACACTTTTAAATGAAATAAACCTCAATGATGACGAAGTGTTCCGATAAATAAATCAATTAATATAGGTATTGAATAATTGAATATACATATAAATATTGTACACAGTTGATACATCCGTTAAACGGAGGATACTGATTAGTTAAGTACACGAGAGCCGCGAAATCGTCAATGTTCACAGGGAAAAAGAGGTTGCGCTATAGATCGAATCGGTGGAATAGTTTTAATTTTTTTTTTTTTTTATTAAATTAATTATACCGATTTTTCTTCTGATATCAAACAATTTTTTTTTTCTGTTTTATTCCAGTGATATCTGTGAGTGATGTTAATTATGGAATGTTTCTCGTGATGCTGTCCTCGCGGATATATGCGTGTGTCAATGGCATATGGATCGTGTGAAGGGTGAGAAGTGGAGAAACGAGCTCTCGTTTTCCAACCACGAATCGAACACCTCATTATATTCCACATTACCATTAGTGCATCACCAGTAGTGTCAAACACTACCATCCACCATAACTATTTACCTTAATTGGATGACGGATAATTCATTGTGTGTGAATTCAATTAATCCATTGAATTAAATGACTCATAACACTCGTTACATATTCAATCAAAAAATAATCGCGTTCCATCTATTTATTCCTGAGTTATTCCAAGTTATTATCCCAGAAAATGTTCGGAGCAATTATTTTCGTAACGAGATAGAATTTATTTAGCTCAAAGTAGAGTGAAAATGAAATAACAATTATGGGGGGAAAAAGTGCGAGAAGTCGGGGGAATGAAAGAAAAAAAAAAGGGAAATGGACGAAAACGAGCCCTCGGGGAAATTCCCCGGGTCTCCGGGAAATAGTGAGAGACTCCCTCCGAGGCATTGAGAACTCAAGAGTCAACTTTGTCCAAGTGCATTGGAAACTTTTCCTGGGCCATCGGGCTTCATTTTTTTATACCCACGGTCATTTTATTTTTCTATCTCTTCTATCCTGGTGATCACTCTGATCTCAGTGTGTCTTAAATTAAAAGAATCTGATTGCTATGAAAATCAAGCTTTTTGAATCTTCTGTGGAGCTGAATTGCGCTAGAATAATGAGAGTTTTGGTGTTCATTAAAATCGAGTGCTATGAATTGCTTTTGCAATTGCAATTTCGTAAGATCACCGCTTATTTTCACTAACAAATGGACTCCCAATTTTCATATCACTCCGATAGCAATAATTATAGTCACTAAAAATCCATTAAGCATTGAAATTTCTGAAATTGTGGATAACGATTCGGAATATTGTGGCGGATTTATTGTAGAATATCAGATTATGGGAAATTATTTGATTTCTCCACACGATGATGAATCAATCCATCCAATGAAAACGAGTCAATCCAAAAATCCAACGTGATTCAAGTCGAATTTGATTTGGAATCAAGTAGAAAAATCGACGTAAGTCAGACATTTTTAGCGCCGTCATTTTTAATTGGAGAGTTTAATAACCGTAATCTGTAGAACGTAGAAATCAACAAAACCGTGAATGACCCTTGATTTCCCCGAATTGTTCACCGCAAGTGTTCGTCAATGGCAATTATTCTCCGCCGCTCCACCACAAATGGTTTTTCTAATTATTTTAATTACTGAGATACTCGATTCGTTTGAAAATAAAACCCCAATTTCTCGAGGAAGTGAAAGAAAAAACGTCCCCAAGTCTTTCAGAATTTCAACGGTTTCTCGTTATCCTGGAATTATTCGAAGCCTCGCAATTACAGCGCTCAGTGCCCCCCACCTCCTTACCAATACACCCTGTGGTAACATCTATCGAATTTCACCTCTTTTCTCTTTCCACTTTTGCCGGCATTCATCCCACTATGATCACGGCGAAGAGTATGAAGGGAGTTATAATCAACGAGGTCATTTGGAATTCTTCGTGGAACTTCCGAGTCGGTCGAACGGTTCTCTCGTTATCGGAGAATTAATCGTGGGGCGTTTCGAATCACCCCATTACCCAAGGCTTCGATACCGTTCGTGATGCGAATATGCGAATGCAAGTGCTGTAATGTCCCCTCAATCGTACAGTTAGTTTCATTTCTCCCCTGAAAATATCAATACCACATGGTGATAATGGGGGGGGGGCAAATTGTCGCCTTTAATTTGTCAAAAAAAAATTATTCAAGACAACATCAACTTATTTTTTATCAACTACTGCTTTCCTAAATTCCCACACAATCATTCAGGATTAGAAAAAAATAATGATTACTTTCTCTTAGTTATATTAAATTATAAATTAGTCTTTCGGGAAATTGACTTCTGTATTTTTTTTTTTTTTTTGAGATTAAGAATGTCCGGAGGAGAGAGATGATAATTTGGGGTTTAATTGCTGTTAATTAAGATGAGAGAGAAGTGAGTTGGGGCGGTTTACCTCGGAACATAGATGGCAGGATATGAAAAGTGGAAATGAAAGGATTGAGCGCGAGTGATGGAGCTTAACGGGTGTGATATTTAGGGATGATGAAGAAAACCTGAAAGGGCTCAGTGGTGTCTCTCAAGTCGACGAGGCAAACGATGATAAATGAATGGGCCACGGGGAATAAGAAGCCAGAAATATTGAGCCCTTGCGGCCTCCCAAAGAGCGAATGCGCGAATCTGAGAGAATGGACGAAATGTTCTCGCAGATGATATGTGGTGGGTCGTTAGTGAGTTTGAAAAGTCTTTCAAAGTATTGCCGCTCCTTGATTCGCCATTTTTTTTTATTCGCACGGTGGGAAAACGAGAGTTTATAGAGTTTGATGCATTAACTGCTGAAGTAGTGTGAAAAAAAATTAAATCCTCGGGGACTTGTACTTGGAGGGATCTAGGGATTTTTTTTTTGAATTTAAAATCGGACAAAATGAGAAAATTTTGGAAAATCGGGAGAACACTCGAGAAGTGATAAAAGAATTTTGAGCATTTAAGAGCAATTGTTTCTTAAAACCAATTGTTTGTGTTAATTAATGGAATGATGAATTAATGGAACAATTATAATTATAATTTAGTCTTTTTTTGAAATGCAGATTTTTTCGTTCTGATTTTTATTAATTGGTAAAAGACTAGGTAATTTCAGGGACAAAAATTCTTAATTGCTAGAATTTATTTCTGAAAATGAAAACGTCTTTTCCTCTGTGAACCGATGATTGAATTAATTTAGGAAGATGGTGAGGACATGGGAAATCGAACGTTCAGGCACGTATGGAATATTGGAAGCAACACAATGGAATTGATTTAGGATTATTCGGGCAACGCGTTTGTATGTCCACCTTAAAATCTTAATCTCTACTTCCTAATATTCGCGTCGCATAAAATTAATGGAATTTATGGAAAATGCAACAAGTAAACAATTGATATATTATACATCGTTATAATAATAGGAAAAAATGATATTGAGTTAGTGATTAGGTGAAGTTATTGAGTATTCGGAGTAATAAAGAAGCGGTCCGAGTTCATCAGTTATGTCCAGGGACCCTGAAAATATAATTGATTGATTACTGGAATCTGCACCA